TGGGTATTTCTCATCTGTTGTTTGCGGATGAGAGTCTACTCTTTTTTAAGGGGACCATTGATCAAGCCTTAGTCATTAAAAATATCCTGTCAGCTTATGAGGAAGGAACTGGTCAGCTTCTGAACCCTGATAAATGCTTGATTAAGTTTGGCAAAAAGTGTAGTATGGAAAATCAGGTGGCCACGATGGTTATTTTAAAAATTTCTGCAAAAGGTTTCGAGGATAAGTACCTTAGGTTACCTGTGTCGGAGGGTAGAATGAAGGCGGGTAAATTCCATTCTACCAAAGATAAGGCTTTAAAAATATCACCAGACTGGATTGAAAAGTATGCCTCTAGCGGTATAAAGGAAAATCAAATTAAGGCAGTGTTGCAAGCGCTCCCAGTGTATGCCATGGGAATCTTTGAATTTCCAGCGTCACTATGTGATGAGCTTACTCAGATTATTAGGAATTTTTGGTGGGGAGACGAAGAAGACAGAAGGAAGACCCATTGGTTAGCTTGGGTTAAGCTAACTAAACTAAAAAGGAAGGGATGCATGGGTTTCCGAGATCTCAGTTTATTTAATCAAGCACTCTTGGCTAAGCAGGCGTGGCGATTATTGGTGTACCTGGACTCTCTTTGTGCTATGGTTTTGAAGGCAAAGTATTGTCCCAACGGTCACAACTTGGATATAGTATTCCCGCAGTCCACGTCGGTGAATTAGCAAGGTATTATGCATGGCCTGGCCTGCTAAAAGAAGTGGTCATTTGGAGAGTGTTCGATAGTAAAAATGCTAATATCTAGAGAGATAACTGGCTTCCTAGGAATTTGGGCCTAAAAGTTATTAAAAAACCAAACTAGATTAAAATGGGTTTCAGAATCATTTTTTAGCGGAATAAGATGTTGGGATGAAAATTTGATTAGGCACTTGTTCTATCACCATGGTGCCGAGGAGATCCTAAACTTACGTATTCAGTCTATTAGAGAGGGTGATCTAATTGCTTGGCACTTTGAGAAAAATGACATGTTTTCCGTTAAAAGTGCATACAGACTGGCCTGAAGTCTAAAAGATGGCAAGGGCGAGAATGGAATGTCTAGCAGTGCCGTTAATGAGGAAAGGAGGTTGTGGGATGTTATTTGGAAGGCCGCAAAAAATAAGAATTTTTGCATGGCGTGCTGCGTCAAACAGTTTGGCGGTACAAATAAATAGAGTATCTCATCATCAAACGATATCAGGGATGTGTTCTATTATGGTGTTGAGGATGAAAGTATTTTCCATGCCCTTGTGATGTGCTCGAAGGCGTGCACTTTCCGTTTCGACATGAGGGAAGTGTGGAATATTTCAGGTAGTTTTACGGATTTACGGGGCCTGACTGGTTCCTCGTTCTGCTGGACCAACTGGGGTCACGGATACGTGAGCAATTGTTATTCATGTTCTGGAGAGCCTAGCATCTGAGAAATAATTTGATTTTTGAAAAGGGGAAAGAATCTTTGTCCGCATCTACTATTTAAAATTATTGGAAAACCTTCTCGGTGGCTATACTTACAGCTGGACTTAAGCAACAAGTGCAAGGGGTGTGTGTGGATAATTGGAGGTGCCCCCCTCGAATAGTCGTGCTCTTTGGAGCCGCTGGATCCTGAGTATATTAAAATAACAAGAAAGCTAAGTACCTGCCGACTGGTGGTTAGCGACAGGCACGCACGCTTCCGTCATCCTCGGTTGTTGGCTCATTTTTTTCAAAAAAAAGTAGCGGCAATAGGAATCGAACCCCGCACCTACAGACTCGCTACAGACTTTGACTATCCCCGGTGACCATGTCAGCCAACCGCATGTTTATGTTTGGAGGTGGGCTAATTTTGTAGATACTTGATTACCGTGAGTAGGCCACTGCTATAGTGCAGATCTGGCGAACATAATTTATCATCTTTTCCCTCTCCAGATCCTTCTATTCGCCGGATTCGATTTTCTTGCTCTCCTCCCGATCTATTTTTTCCCTCTTTAGATCTTTTTTCGTTCGAGATTTTTTCAAGCAAAAATTGGTGTGAACAAGAGAGGATTGGATCCTTGCACCACTAGTGAGCCAACTCAACTAACCTACCACCTGACCTACGATCCCTTTCTTAAACAAAATAAAGTAAATGGGCTATTTAACATGTCTCCTCTACTACGCATGCATAAAAACGAGTTAATTTAGTGTTTGATTTTTTCCATGCTTAGGTACCCCATTCCTGCTAACTTTACCGACTGGGGGGGTGATGTTAACTTTCATGTGAATAACATGGTAACTCAAATTTCATAGACTTGATAAC